GGGCAGCCAAGCCCCCTTGCTGGACTCACACAGGGCAAAGGGAACACACTGCTGTGTCTCTGCCTGTGGCTGCTCCCAGCCTGCCAGGCCCCAGAACAGAGTGGAGCTGTCACAGCCTGTCCCAGGGGTCCCCCTGAGCAGAGGGGGTGCAGGCACAGCACCCGTTCAGTCACCCAGGCATGGGGAGGCTGGGTAAGCTGGCTGTGGCGGGGCTCTGGGGACAGCAGTGGGGCTGTGGGAGGGGACACTCTTCATGCCCCAGTGGGTCACTGGGAAGGGYGCTGGGAGTCGGCTCCCAGGCTGCCAGGACCCCCTTAATCCCGGCTGGCACCGACTGCACCAGCTCAGAATAACAAAGCCTGGGAGTGGCTGTGGCCAGACACAGGGGCTGGGGCTTGGAAAAATAAACCYGGGAGCAGCACATCAGCCTGGGATCCTGCTCAGAGCGTCTGGGAAAGCTGCTCACCCGTGGCCCCAGGGCTCAGGCCCCCTTAGCTCCTGCACAGCACAGGGACTCTGTGGCACTGGGACTCACCTCTCCTCCGTGGAGCCCAGGTTCTCAATCTCATTCGTCACCTCTGCTATCTCATCCTTCAGGCGCTGTGGGGAGAGGGGGCACTGAGACAGGAGGTGACCCCCACAAACCCTCTAGCCTCCAGCCCCATTCATTCCCCCAAGAGGCCCCACAGCCCCTCCTTCCTTCCTTCCCTCCCTCCTTTCCCCCAGCCCAAGTGCTGCCCTGGGGCTGAACCAGCTCAGGGGGGGCACTGGCCATGGGTTTGCTAATCCCTGCAGCATTGCCATGCTCCCAGCATGCAGGAAGGAAGAGATTCAGAGGTTAACAAAATTACCCCTAATCCCTTCAGATCATGCCCAGCATATGGAAGTAATTAGCCTCTGCTGCCTTAATCAGGGACGTGACTGACAGTGCCTCAGATGAGCCCCGACCTCACAGGCACATGCCAGGCCAGTGGCCTGACCCAGAAACATGTCCCTGTCCGTGCCAGGTAGGGGCTGGCACAGCCATCAGTGTCCCAGGGAATGGCACAAGTGCAGGGCCTGGAGCTCGGCGGGGACAGGGAAAGACGTGGCTGCTTTGGCAGGGCAGGATGACTGGCTGCCACCCGGGATCACATCCCAGTCAGTTCCCTGTCCCCAGAGCCCCTTGGRGGCTGCAGCATGAGGGGTCTGGATGGGGTGCAGGGACTGTGCCAGGGACACRGGTAGGGACACTGTCCCTGCCTCCCATTCTGCTGTCTCTGGGACAAGGGCACTGTGTGGGTCCCCTGGCATCACACCTGAATGTCAGCCAGCAGCTCCTGCTTTCGGCGGCGGATGTTCTCCAGCTCCTGGCACTCCTCTGGGGTCAGGTCACTGGGCACTGAGCRGAGACAAGATCAGGTCAGCATGTGTGCTCCTGGGGAATCAGCCCTGCCAGGCTTGGGGCACAGCCTCTGGGCCTGGATGGAGGTGCTGGGTGCCAGGAGGAGCTGGGCTGGCGAGCAGCACCCCTGGCCCCAGGCAGAGACCCAGTGACACCAGTGACATGAGGGGAATTCGAGTGACAGGGCATCTGCTCATTCAGATTGTGGTAGCTGCAGAGTGAGAACCAACACAGCCACCAGATCCCCTCCAGGGCTTCTTCTGCCAGCCCCGGTCCCATTTCACTGTGCTCTGGCCCAGCTGGGCTGGTGTAGTGCCTGTTCTGGGCTGGGCAGCTCTGCTGTGCCCTGCAGCACAGGATTCACACCGACCTGCAGCCCCGCAGGCTGTTCTGCTGCACCAGGTCAGCCCCAAACACAAACCAGCTCCTGGCCACCCTTGCAATCCCTCCACAGTGGATTCATCACTCTGAGGCAGAGCCTGGAGCTGGTGCACCCTGCAGACAGACCTCACCTCACCGTGACGTGCACCTCCCGTCACCCTGGGGAGCCACACACCCCTCTGAGGCTCAAGCCCAGAGCCCTCACATGGGCCCCTTACTCCAGGAACATTCCTTGTGCTCCTCGGCATGTGACCTCCTTGCTTCCCGGTGCCAAGGTGTTCCATTCCTGTTCCCTCCAGTCCCCAAGGTCACCTCTCCTCCAGGAGAGCTCCCAGCCCTCCTCCTATGCCCATGACTCCATTCTCTGCCAGCAGGTTCTGTGTGGTGCACCAAGGGCACCCACAAGGACACCAAGGCACCATCCCTCAAGGAGTGCCATCCCCATGGGAGATTGCAGCAGATCTGCTGGCTCTTGTGCCACCCTGGGGTGCTGGGAACAGACACCTTCATGGCTGTCACCATCGTCCCCTGCCCCAAGTGTTATCCTGTGACTCGCTCCACTCCCACCATGTCCCCAGGCACCASTGCCACCAGCCCAGWGCCACCAGAGAATCTCAGCACTGTCACTGCCCCGTGCCAGTGCCCACAGACACCATGTCCCTTTGGACCAGCACTGTCCTCACTGTGCCTCGATGCTCCCCACAGTGCCACTGCCTTGGTGGGAGCTCCGTGGGTCACAGCCCCCCTGCACCCTGAATTTCCAAACCCAGCACTTCCCCAGCTCTGCACGGGCTCTGATGAGCTTCCTCAAYCTGATGAGCTTCCTCCTTCACAGCCCCTCCGCTTGCGACACTGTCCTCCGACACCATGCAAACACTTCCTCATATTTTCAAATCTCTCATGACAGGAATCCTGAACCAGACAATTTGGCTCAGGGCACCAGGTTAAAAGTCACTTAAACTTACAGTACCAGAGCCGTGTCAATGCATCCCAGTGCCCTCCCCGTGCCCCAGTGCCACTCCTGCTAGTGCCAGCCCCCCAGTACCAGGCCCTCAAGGCACCTGGAACCCCAGGCTTGCTGAGGGAGGGATGAGCTGTGACACAGCCCATCATCAGACACAGAAACCCCCAAATCCCTGGGCTATATGTGCCGCTGGACCCTCCTGCCCAGCTGCTGGACCCTCCAGCCCGGSCGYRGGGAAAGYCAGGGGCCCTGAGCGCTGCCCCTTKSTGCCCACCTGGCAGTGGACAGGGGTTCCAGCGCGGGTCCTGGTGGCCCGGGATGGGCACGGAGCAGGATGAGAGGCTGCAGGGCAGCAGGGATAGCGGGGCTGCTCCAGAGCCCTGGAAGGTCCCTCCCCGGTGCAGGCTGAGCACTCGTGACACAGCCCAGCCATGTCAGCAGCAGCCAGAGGAAGAGAAACCCCAGACGCAGGAGATTTCTGGGGAAAGAGGGCGGCATTAACCCTTCCTTGGCTCTGCACAGCAGCTGTCCTGGACAGCCCCAGTGAGCCTGGCCGAGGCAGGGCAGTGCCAGCAGACAGGAGGCTCGGATAGATGCTTTCCCTGCCTTCAGCCGGGCACAGGGGCTGCACAGCAGCYACCCCACTGCAGGATCCCAGAGTGCTKA